TCATATAACCTCCTCCCCCTACCTAAGGCAGAAACAGTCTCCCTTGCTGTAATCGGGCCCAATGCCAATACTTCAGAGACCTTTGTCGGAAATTATCATGGCCTTCCTTGCAAGAACATTACAATTTTCCAAGCACTTGGGAGCTACACCAAAAATGCAGTTTATAGTCAGGGGTGTGATGGTGTAAACTGTACTTCACCTGCAACTGTCGAAGCATTTGGTGTTGCACAAGAGGCAGATTATGTTGTTTTAGTTATGGGATTGGACCAATCCCAGGAAAGAGAGGAGCTTGATCGAACAGAGCTTGTGCTCCCTGGGCAGCAGGAAATTCTCATAAAGAACATTACACTACATGCTAAGAATCCAGTAATACTAGTGTTACTTTCTGGTGGTCCAGTTGATATTTCCTTTGCCAGAGATGATCCAAGAATTGGAAGCATCTTATGGGCAGGTTATCCTGGAGAAGCTGGAGGTATTGCTTTAGCACAAATCATTTTTGGCGACCACAATCCAGGTAATGCTTAAGACAACAGTGGTGCCTCTGTAACAAAAATTCCTACTTGGATATAATTACATTACATCACATACTTTATTGCGTCAACGATAAGGGGACAAATCCAAAAATTTGACAGATTTCTAATTTACAATGCAGGAGGTAGATTACCAGTAACTTGGTATCCAGAAGATTTTATTAAAGTTCCAATGACAGACATGAGGATGCGATCTGAACCTTCAACAGGCTATCCAGGACGCACCTACAGATTTTACACCGGCCCAAAAGTGTATGAATTTGGCGACGGCCTTAGCTACTCCAATTACACTCACGAATTTGTTCATGTCACCCCAGATAAGATCTACATAAACAAGTTATTACGACCTGCTAAGGCCATCAAAAGATCAGCCACCGATCGTTATGCATTAGTTTCTGAACTGGGAAAAGAATTATGTGAGAGCAAAAAGTTCTCAACTAAAATAGCAGTTGAAAATCATGGAAATTTACCTGGCAAGCATCCAGTACTATTATTTGTCAAACAGGCCAACCTCACAATTGGGAGCCCTCAGAAGCAGCTGATAGCATTCCGAAGTGTGAGATTAGAGGCAGGAGAAAGAGCTCACATTGACTTTGTTCTGAACCCTTGTCAGCACCTAAGCAGAGCTAACAAAGATGGTTTATTGGTGATTGAAGAAGGATATTACCACCTGATTCTGGAAGATAAGGAGTATCCCATTAATGTGGTATTGTGACAGTTGGAATTCTATGCCAAATTGCTGCTGAGAATAAGGTGCATTGACATAGATTACCGAAAATCTGCTGCCAATAATGGTTTGAGCAATTCTCCTGTCTAGATGGCAGTTGCACATGTGCATTAATTTTTTTTCCTTGTTCCACTAATGGCTGAGCTTTTGGTACTATTTGAAAGAAATCTGTTTCAGCAATTTGGATAAACATGCGGATTTGCCTTCAAAATTGGGCTTTCTGTTTTTTGGTAATTGCTTTCCTGGTTGTTCTGATCTTGCTTTTACAACAAAACCTGTATTAGCTTGCACTCAAAACAGGTCATGTACATCCTTTAATTGGACACAATTTCCATTCTTTGAAGAGCCTATAACCATATAAATTTATCAACAAACTAATTCTCATACGTCTGAACATGTACTTCGTTCACACTGGAAAGAAGAAAGTACTTAGACTAATGCATGGTGTAGATTTTCTTAATCCAAATATTAAAGAACAAGAGTCAATCCCTGAGTAAATCAGTCAAATTAAATTCCCACCTGGAAAACAAAGTCAAAGTAGCAGTTGAACTTTATCTTTCCTTTATAGATCTAGATTAATTTACCCATTCAATCCCACAAAAAAAAAAGTGCTAAATGAACAAAATATCGATGGTTGTAAGTTGTTGCGTGCTTCAAGAAGGGCAACTAAGTCATTCACTCTCAAGACATTGAATAATCAGAACAAAAATCTTAAAGTTCCCTTCTTTATGGCTTTATATAAGGCATTCCTTTCCTCGTCTCTCACTTCCCTGCTTTACCATCTCTTACCAGCTTTAGCTCATCTCTTTTCATTTCTACCATTAATCTGACAATGAACCTCCATAGATGGATAGTCATAGCTCTCACCATTCTTCTGTTTCTTGGAACATTCCTCTCAATAATTGACTCAGCTCAGCCTCCATTTTCATGTGACAAACTCAACTCCCAATTAGATTCTTTCTCATTCTGCAAAACAACTCTGCCTATCCCCGCCAGAGCCCGTGACCTTGTCTCCCGCCTGACGATTGATGAAAAAATCACCCAGCTTGTTAATACAGCACCTGCCATCCCTCGGCTCGGTATTCCCGCCTACCAGTGGTGGTCAGAAGCTTTGCACGGCGTCGCCTATGCCGGACCTGGCATTACATTCAATGGAAACATCAGAGCTGCCACCAGCTTCCCTCAAGTCATCCTCACTGCTGCTTCATTTGATGTTCACCTTTGGTACCGCATTGGCCAGGTATTAGCCTTATGCTACTACATTAATTATCCAGTTAGACAATTAATGTACCTTTGACAATTAATGCTAGCGTAATTTTTTAGATCAATGTTTACATCCATCGACACGACAGTGTATATACTAACGAGTCGCTGAATTTCACATTTTGTATATACACACTGACGGACAACGCATTGCAAATTGAGTTAGCGCCTATCAGCAGATATGATTTGATTAACGTGTTGCAATTTTGAGCTAACGTTTTGGGGATATGACTTGATTAATGCGCAAGTTTTTTGGAAACAGGTGATTGGGAAAGAGGCGCGAGCAGTGTACAATGAAGGGCAAGCAACAGGGATGACATTTTGGGCACCAAACATCAACATATTTAGGGACCCCAGATGGGGAAGAGGGCAAGAAACACCTGGGGAAGATCCAATGGTGACGGGGAAGTATGCAGTTTCTTATGTTAGAGGAGTTCAGGGGGACAGTTTCCAAGGTGGGATGCTGAAACATGGTGAACTTCAGGCCTCTGCTTGTTGCAAGCACTTCACAGCCTATGATCTCGATAATTGGAAGGGAATCACCCGCTTTGGCTTTGATGCTCGCGTAAGTGTCTCTGTCTCACCAATGCCCGTGCTTTTAACACTTTTTACCTCTGATAATTTCTCGTACCATACAATTATAGTGTCTATGTCGGCAGCTATAAGCTGTATGAGTCTGTCTAATCGTTTCTTGCGGGGATGATAATAACAATAATAGTGTTGTGGGCTTCAAGGAAAAGTTTAGTTAAAGAATTGCTTTCTTGATGGGCAGTGGGCACCTTGACTCTTGTCATTCTGTCCTTGAGATAAAATATGAGTTTGGTGCCAGAACTTTATTGGGTTTTGTGTCTTCATACGGCATACAGTAAATTTTTGGACGGTAAAAAAGGAGGGATTATAAATAAGATATCTCTTGCTTGTGAAAAAGCAAATAAAAAGTTGTTTCAAATTTTTTGAAGTACAAGAACTACAAAGAGTACATTCCTTGTTCTTGGATAGAAATGAGAGGAAAGTTCATTGTGTTTTTCTTTTCCTTGGTTGGTCAGAGTCGAGCCATGATTACTAATGTAATCCTTGGTCTAGAAGAGCAGAGTGCTACTAGGATAATTAACACTCTTGTCTATTAAGGATGAGAAAAGAGCTGTTTTTCGTTCTTTTAAGTTGGTTCATATGAGATTTAAAGATTGATGCGCTCTTGGTGAATGAGACAAACCTAAAGGTGAAAAGTAATCCGAATGAGACAGATTCTTTTGTTAGTAACCAGTTTGTGGACGTAGTATCAAGATTTCAAGAACCTAGTGATGCTATCCATTTTACTGACACATTTTTTGGTCACATAAACATATGAGAATATATTCTCCTCCCCAATAAAAGAGATGCTGAAACCACGACCAGAAAGAAGCAATCCGAAGCCAGAGTCACGAGACTTCTTTAACTTCTTGTCCTCGTTCTTTATTTGTTCTCTCATTCTTTGCCCTTTCCCTACTTTTCTAACCCAATTTTTGGGTTTATCTTTAGGTAACCGAGCAAGATTTGGCTGATACGTTCCAACCCCCCTTCAGAAGCTGCATTCAAGATGGCCAAGCAAGCGGTATAATGTGTGCTTACAACCGTGTCAATGGGGTTCCTCCTTGTGCTAACCACAATCTTTTGACCCAAACTGCCCGTAAACAATGGGGTTTCCACGGGTAATTGTTCCCGCAAATTACGCCATTGAACATTGCCGCCGAAGGGCTTTTCATGAAATTAGCAATGCATGTAATTAACGGTCTATTCTATTCTTGCTGGTAGCCTAGAAGTGTGGAAAATCTAACAGTCTTGTCAGTATGTAATGATGTGATATATATATGATATTTAAAAAAAAAATTGATTAGAAAATGTGTCAAGAAAATATTCTAAAAAATTTTTCGTGAAATGTTATAATCCAAACATGCTCATTTTCCAGTAAACGCCAAGGAGCTTAAAATTTTTTACATCTATTCTACCTAAAAAAAAAAAAAAGTAGTAATAGTAAATAAAATCTCGCATCTAAAGGTGTTTTCTTAAAGGCCAAGCCCATGAATAAAAATTTGGTTGGGGTGTTATCAGGTACATTACATCGGACTGTGATGCTGTGTCCATCATTTATGAGCAGCACAAATACGCGGGAACGCCGGAAGATGCTGTGGCTGATGTGCTAAAAGCAGGTAAGGATGGACACCTTTCGTCTTCTTCAACCATTATTTACGCATTGCTACTTGCTAGTTGATTTTGTTTGCCCCATTTTTAGGGGATAGGTTTTTATTTTTTATTTTTTTATTTTTGATGGAACAAGGGGATGGATATTACATGCTAATGGCCCATTCGGATTGTTATTTTTAGAAGTTTTTGCAGAATAATATATTGTATTCATTTGATACATATATATATAAAGTAAAAATGATTAAAAAAAATATGTTCACTAAAGGAAAAGGAAAACGTAAAAATTTTTAAAGGGAAAATGGCTTTCACTCTGAGATGATTTTTTTTTTTTTTGTCGCAACGGTAGAATTCCGATAACCTAATTTAGCCTAACCTAATATAGGAGGGAGGGGGAGGAGGAGGGAGATTCGATGTAAATAAAGATTCCATCGAAAAAATTTAATTAAAACCACCACATGTTGTGGCAAATTTTGGTGGAAGGTCAAGGATTGGTAAGAGTTAAACCCTTGACCTTCCACACCACCCGGACTGTATAGTCTTGGTGGTGACCACCCCGCCAAAGTCCTAGTGGCTCTTGAGATGATTTGTTCACTTAGACTTGCCTGGGCCCAGACTTTTCAAGCTTAGCTGGCTTCTGGGCCCAAAATGACAGTGACTCGTTTCCTCAAACAACAGGATTACTGCTCCCACCTGGTCCACTATGGCGGCTAGGTTTTGGATTCATATAGCAATGGGCTGTCCATCCATTAAAGTACAAACTTGTGCGACCTGCAACCAACTGGAATACAAACGCATTTAGCGCTAGTATAGGCTCAGATTGTATGACTTTTATGCATAAAAGTCTAATTAGTTTCTCATGCATAAACCCTACAATGAAAGAGACCTCACAACAGCATTTTCTTTCGTGTGAGTCAACAAGAAAGGCTTTCTAAGTATGTGAAGGATAACATGATAGACTACCAGACAGACTATTTGATTGATCAAGAAATCAAACTAAAAGAAGTTAAGCCTGAAAGTTGATCTAGGTTAGGTTCCATATTCTTGATGTACTTTTTTTTTTTTTTTTTCTAAGTTAAGCCTAATTGATCTTGCTAGGATGCCAAAAAAAAAAAAGAAATGCTTTCCAAGGACAAAGAGCAACTAGAGTAAACAATTAGTATGTAGTAGAGTAAATGGGAAGTTTAATTATAAGTTTATGCAATCGGTTTAAGTGAGCAGGGTGGTAGATTATTAATCGTGTGCAAACAAAAATTGCAGGCATGGATGTCAACTGTGGCTACTACCTGCTGAACTATACCAAATCAGCCTTTTTGCAGAAAAAGGTATCAGAATCTGACATTGACAGAGCCCTTCAGAATCTCTTTTCTGTTCGAATGAGATTGGGACTGTTTAATGGAGACCCAAAGAAACTGCTTTATGGTAGCATTGGTCCAGATCAGGTCTGCACCAAGGAGCACCAGGAACTAGCACTTGAAGCCGCGAGAAATGGCATTGTTCTGTTAAAGAACTCTGCTAAGCTCCTTCCTCTTTCAAAGAAGATCACGTCGCTGGCTGTTATAGGCCCTAATGCAAATAATGCATTCGTAATGCTGGGAAACTATCAAGGCCCTCCTTGTATATCTGTTGCAGTTTATAAAGCACTGCAAGACTATGTTCCAAACGCAGTCTACCATGAAGGTTGCAATGCAGTCAATTGTACCTCTGCTGCAATTGATGATGCAGTGAATGCAGCAAAAGGAGCAGATTATGTCGTCTTAGTCATGGGGTTGGATCAGGGCGAAGAAACAGAGCAGCTTGATCGCGAGTCTTTGACGCTTCCTGGTCAACAAGAAAGCCTGATTACAGCTGTTGCTAATGCTGCAAATAAGCCAGTTATACTAGTCCTGCTTTGCGGAGGTCCAGTTGATGTAAGTTTTGCTAAAGATAATCCAAAAATAGGAAGCATCTTGTGGGCTGGTTATCCAGGCCAAGCAGGAGGGATTGCACTCTCAGAAATCCTGTTCGGCGACCACAACCCAGGTGAAAGCAATTAATTGCTTTTAGTGATAACTGTAGCAAAAGCGATTGTTAGCTTTAGCAAAATCAAAGGCTATAATATCTCATTTTCGTTTGATTCCTGTACAGGAGGAAGACTGCCACTTACTTGGTATCCGAAAGAATTTGTAAATATACCGATGACAGACATGAGGATGCGGCCTGATCCATCCTCAGGATATCCAGGGCGCACATACAGATTCTACAACGGCAAAAAGGTGTTCGAGTTCGGCTATGGCCTGAGCTACTCAACCTATTCCTATAACTTTGTAAAGGTTGCTCAAAGCACTCTCTACCTGAATCAGCTGTCAGCTACTGCTCAAGTAACAGCTACAAGCTCGAATGCAGCTCGTTATCTTGCAGTGTCTGAAATGAGTAGAGACTCGTGTGAGAAGGCAAAGTTCTCTACTGTAGTAGGAGTTGAAAACTCAGGGGATTTAGCAGGTAAGCATCCAGTGCTGCTATTCGTTAGGCAAGCGAAAGCTACTAATGGAAATCCAATCAAACAGTTGATTGGATTCCAGAGGGTGAGCCTAGATGCAGGAGCTAAAGCTGAAATTGAATTTACTCTCAGCCCTTGCGAGCACCTTAGCGGTGCCAATGAAGATGGCTTGATGGTGATGGAAGAAGGATCTCGCTATCTCGTTGTAGGGGACAAAGAGTACCCTATTAATGTTGTCATATGAAACCAACAAACTGGGCTATCCTTACATATATATATATCCTTGCATTGGATTTTGGCTCTCCAGTTTTGGGGTTATAGATGAACGATGTTACAGGGGACAAATTATTGTTTTCATGTGAAAACATCTATTACAAAGGATATTGTTGGCCCCCGAAATCTTGTAACATGCATTTTTGGGGCAATAAAAGGACGAAAATTTTATAGGTTCTGATCAGTTGGAATTACTATGTCTTTTCTCTCTGCAAGTTATTTTCTTTGTCTAAGGATGCCGCCAAGCCCAAAAAGACTTTTTTTTTTTTTTTTTTGTCAAAAAGACATGAAGTACCTCTATTAAAAAATACCGGTCTGAAGGAGATAGCTCACAAAAATCATCAAATTGGACAAAAGAAGTTCGAGGGAGAATGATTTTGGACCATCCAATTCTTACAAATAGCCGGAAAAGATTGCATGCGGCAATGGTATACAAGCCAATTCTTAGAAGTGCTAGTAACAAGGTAGGACATGGATATGATATGACTGCACAAATGATATTATTGTTATGCATGGAAAACATCAAGCCTCTATGAATATATTTTCTTGAAGGAATTTTCTATTCTGTGCCCTTAAGGCAGGCACAGGATAACCGTATAAAATATAAGGGATGGATTCATTTCAAATTTTAAGCATTATCATCTATCCCTAAAATCAGGAAACTTTAGCGAAGAAATTCTGAACTTTTTCAAACAACTAACATTTGGATCCACCTCTTATCATGTGACCTAAGTGCACAGAATAGAAGAACCCTTTCTTGAAACCTTTTAATGTGTAATCGTGAAATATAATTTACTCATAATTATTAGGAATTTGGTAATTAGACGCTTGAAATTTTGGAATCCAGTTACGGAATTTTATTTTATTTTATTTTTTGGTTATATCATTGGCTGTAGGATATAAAAATTTGAAAGCTCGAGGGCAGGATTGATTTTCACTAAATACAGGCAAAGGTGAATACATTGATCATTCTGAAATTCGTTACATGATTAGTAAACTGTTGTCCTACAGGTCTCACTACGACAATGGTAAACATACGACACAAGTAAGGTTCTTGCCATGAATTCAGATTCAATTTTACCAAACGAACCTTAGTGGTCACATCTGGACGAACGTTAAGCTAAAACTAACTCAACTGGAGAAGCAAAACAGCTGAGAAAGCCTAGACAAAATTTATGCTATCGGAGATCCAATTCCAAACTTGCTTTTCTTCCGTTGAGTTGTGCGGTTCTAAGTTTGGTCTGGACCATGCATGTGCACGAATGGCGAAAAAATGGCAGTCAAGGATGGTGTACCTGACGAAATGGCAACAATGAATTATTCTAGATTTGGCTAAGAGGTTGTGCGGTCATAAATTCATAATCAGATCCTTCATTATCTGGAAAACAAAATTACTGAGTCAAACTTCATTGCATTATTACGTACCGTTTCGCGGATTTGGACGGCTGACAGAAACAGGCAGAGTAAGATGAAATAAGAGCAGGCAAATTAAAAGTGAGAAAACTTGACTAGCCTAAGAACAGTTTTATGAAATATATATTGGAAGTAAAATATGTGCATTAATAGAGCTTCGAAAGGATACGAGGATTTGCCCCATCCATATTGTTTTTAATTTCTTATTAAGGGCCAGCTGTTCATTGGATAAAACGATGAAGATTTTGTTGCAGAGTGACAATCATTTGTTTTAGAGTAAAACACACTTTATCTTCCTATGGTTTAGCGATTTTTCATATACGTCCCCTGTAGTCTCAAAAGATGACACTCTTATGATTTGGATTAAAGTGTCAAAATAACCGAAATAATATTCTCTAACGAAACCGACAGAAATGTCGAGATTACCATTGTTTAAAAATTAAAATGATTGAGATAACTAAAATATATAAACATAATATGCATGATATTTTAATCCCTTATGATTTTATATTTTACCACGTAACCCCCTTATGGTTTAGTGCTTTACCGTATAAGTCTCTTATGATTTTCAAAATGTATACATAATCTCTTGTAATTAATAAATAATTTCCAACATTACACAGGAGAACTTTTGGCGTTTTAATTGACTCAGTTATGGGATGCAAATTTCATCATTTTGACGCTTTAATTCAAATTATGAGGGGATTATCCATAATTTTTGAAACTATATGGACATTATGTGAAAAAATAATTAAACTGCAGGGGGTAAAATGTATTTTACCCTTTGCTTTATTCTGCATCCCTATTCGAAATATGAGTAGAATTCCTCGAAACAATAAAACAAAAAGGATTGGGATGAAAAGAATTAGAAAAACCCGAAAGAAATCAAGAAGCCCGACAAGATGTCGAGTTGTTACAAGATTTAACTTTGGATATGTTCGTGGTCTAGATAATCACACGAGTCCATGGAAGAGTTCAAAATTTGGTCAATATATTGGCTAGAAAATGAGATTATTTTTGTGCTTCAGATGACCAATCTAGCTTGCATCAATCAGGAAACAAAAACTACATACTTCTAACCGTAATCAAATTACAAAGACACCAATTCATAGTTGTGTAGTAGTAATTAAAAAGTAAAATGTTAGGACAATTTATATTAACTTTGCCTAATTGTCACGATTACAGAGATTTCTTTCAGAAAAAAAAAAGCTTTTAATTTCCAGTGACTTCTTAGAAGCGAGCTCTAGATTTTTCACAAAAAAAAAAAGGAAAGAAAAGAAAAATGTTGTCTGGAATTAGCATACAAGAATCTTAAGCAAAAGAAGACCTCAAGGGCTAGTTCCTTAGATAATTTAAAAAAGTAAAAAGGTGGCCTGATTTTGCATTGAGCAATTAAATTCGTGTGTCTCAACTGATTATCCGAGTACTTATTCTGAACATGAATTTTTCTTTCCTTACATTGCAAGTCTAATGGAAAATTTTCTATGCAGAATCAGTTATCACATCAAGGGAAAAAAAAAATTATACGTCAATTAAATGACCTTGAGAGTTGAGATGATTGAACCAAGAAAAGAAAAGAAAAGGCATGGAACCTCGTTTAAAAGGAAGGTGCCCTTTTGCAAAAGACCAAATTTTATTCATAATTGTGACAATATAGCTGCTGGGATTTACTAATTTTCAGTTTCTATTTAAATAACTTTGGACCGTGGTGCCTAAAATATATATATATATATATATATATATATATATATAAGTTTGGACTGTGGTAAATGTAGATCCTACCATTTACTTCTGCCAAATTGTTGACTAAGCCAATTAGCGGAACCAATCCTTCACGGCGATCACCTGACCAGTTTTAATCTTATGCTTCAACAAAGCGAGTCAAAACCATAAATCCTTCACGGCGATCACCTGACCAGTTTTAATCTTATGCTTCAACAAAGCGAGTCAAACCGTTTCCCCCCATAAACTTCTTCTTCTTTTTTTTTTTTTTTTTGTATTCTTTTTGGACCTCTAAAGCAAGAGCGGTAAAGGGCGAAATTAGTTAATAATCTGAAGCATGAGAAGACTGCTGGCATGTGATCCTAGCAGACTTAACTGTCCATTTCGATGGGTTCAGAGAACTTCACACTTTCTTTTTTTTTTAATTAACAAAGTCTTTTTTCTAAGGATATTTGGATAGCCACTAAGGTTTTGTTTAATAACCCAATTTAACACTTAAATTTAATGAGTTTAAATTTTAACATATTTTGACGTGCTCGATAATAAAAAATAAAACATTTGAATTAATTAGATAGCACTAAATTTTTTAGACAAAATTTGTTTCAAAGAATAAGTGATAAATTATTCACTTATCACTTAATGTGATATACATATACATATATATATATATATATATATATTCAAATGTATTAGATTTAATATTTAGC